CTTGTTGTGGTTCTGTAATACTACTGGTGGGCTTTTGTTTTTATTTTTAGAGTACTGGGACAAGTATTGGAGATGAATAACGTTTTCATCACCATGACTGAAAGGACACTGATTTTGTTTTGCGTCATATGGGTCTTTGAAATGACAATTTATGAAATCATACTCTAGAAGTTTCTTTTTCATTTCATGTAGAGTCATTTTATGCTGCAGGTGAGAGATGTCGATATCATTGAGTTGTCAGCGTCACATCTCATGATCATTATTAGAGCAACCAACAATATAAGTTAAAAAGCAGCAACTGTGGTGATTATGTTAGGGGCGTCTAATATAAAAATAATATTTTCACTATTATCATCCAAAATGAAGGAAAAGTTTTTTTTATGTCATCTTCATAGAATGGTGTGGTCAGTTGTCCCTGGATTTTTGTGTTTCTTTTAGTCACATCCCAATTGGTCCCCCCTTGGGATTAGCTGCGATGCGATAGAGACAGAAGATTCGTTCAAACAAAATTCTCACAGACACTTGTCATGATTTGCAAAATCATGACATAGTTGGTAATGAGGTAGTCTAATTAAATCATCACAAACGTATTGTTCGCATCCTCATCTATTTAAACAAGCTCTACTATTTGTTAGTGCTTGCATCCTCATCTAAGGTCGGATATCATCAAAGATCAGCCACCTACCATCCCTGTTCAGAAGATGCAACCTGATCCTCTTTCCAACACCGCAGTTCCTGACGAAGAACACCATACTACAGCTACAGATTCAGTTGTGCTTATACCACCCACTGTTATTGAAGAAAGCTCACTTACATGCCAAGACACACGAGAGTGTTCCTTTGATCCAATAACAGATCAATCGATACAACATGTAGTTACTTCTAATGTTCAACAACCTACACATCTCCAACGCACTTTAGACGAGGATTAGGTGAGTCAATCTTCGGAAGAGGAATGACAGGTCTATACCAGGAGGAAGAAGAAGAAGAATGGAGGTCGACTCCAGCTCGGGAACATATTGGATGATACACTGGTTACTAGTGGCAATGACAATCATCTTACCAACTTATTTGTTTGTTCTTTTCCTAGAACTAGAGGCATAGGCAAGACCAAATTGGGTCGCTCTCTCGTCACCTCATACTATGTATTTCGACACTGTTAGACTTTGTCTTTAAGTCTCTAATGTACTTCTCTGTATTTTCTAGTTTTAGAACCATTTGTGGTTATTGTGTGGGCAGGGTGTCATGTTTTGACCCTCCTACACATTGTATATGGAAGCCCTAGGGCTGATTATATTGAAATAAAAAAACATACAAAAAATTATATGAGAGGGCCCAATATATAATGTCCTGCTCATACGATACATAGTATAAAGATATCCCAACAAAAAAATACAAAATACTCAAAAAAAAAGAATGCAAAAACAAGTGTTTATGGACGAGGCGGTTTAGACCTGCCTCTTTCTCTGGTTCTTGGAGCCGATCCGGATAGCAAACTCTAAAGAGTTGTTCTATTGCCAGGAGTGACCAAGGTATCATCCATTAAGTTTCCAAGCTGAACAGTGTCCCCAACCTTCTTCCTTCGCCGAGAAGTGTAAACTTGTCATTCTTCTTCTGAAGACTGTTCAATCTTATCCGTAGAAGGAAAGACAGTTGCAGCGATGAGTTCCTAAGTTTGTGTAGGACAGTCTTCCAATTCTTGGGAAACACCTGCCCTCTCAACAGGTAGTTTTACCAACTGATTGATAGCAGTAAAATGGTTTGTGTTTGGCTCTAAATCTTCCTCATTAGTATTAGGAGATACATTTTCTGTCATCTGAATGTGAATGTTCGCTTCATCTCTATCTTCAATCACCTCATAGAGGGGAGCCTGAGCACCCTCCACGGTAGGTAGAGTCTGAAAGGATAGTATGTCCACTCCAGTAGAAGAAGGGACAGTGACCGCGTCCTGTCTTCCACGGGCAACCACCTGACTCTCCTTCAACAAACGACCATTATCAACATTTTCCGAAACAATATCAGTAGACAAACCATTTTGCACCGTATCTGCCATGTGCATAGCAGTAGGTATCAGAGACAGTGAGAAAGAGGGTATAACCTCCGCAGAAATATGCTGAGAAACAGGAGGTGAGGCTATAGTCAATCGTAGATGGGGATGCAACCAATAACAGGATAAAGAGGTATGACCAAACATTCTACAGTGAGAGCAGTATTGGGGACGAGGTCCCATCACAATTTTCTGCCAACAACCCTCATAAGGGGAGCCAATCCAAATCTCCCCTGGAAAGGGTTGAGTGATGTCGCGCTCTACAAGAACACAAGTTTCAGATGGTCTGGTTGTATCAAGCGTGGGAGTATCGACCTTCAGCGGTTTCCCAAAAGCAGTTGTTAATGTATAAAGGGTTTCATAATTGAAGAGATGCACCTTGAACCCTGGAAAATTAACCCAAACCGGGATAATAGGAGATTCCAATTTAGGATCAAAATCCACTGTCCATTTCAGAATTTTCATAAAGTGATTATCGATTTTGAGAAATCTTAGGTAATAAAATCTGTACGTAAAGTTTGTACAACCTTCCAAAACTATGAAATACAAAATTTTTTATAAGTCACATCTGGCTAAAAGCCCCGGTGCTTCTTACCCCTTCTTAAAAGTTAACAACATGGAGTGAGATGTAACAAACTCAATGTTATAATAAAAATTTATAATCTAAAAAGAAATAATGTGCATACTCATATATAATTCATGTGTGTGCCCACAACACATTTCACATGTTATAATCATATGAAACATATAACAGAAAAGACACAGAGAATTATGACTACTGTATAGAATAAGTATTTCATCTATTCTTGTGTAATTATAAGCATATTATTAAGAGTAATCAATCTAATCATAGAAATGTCACTTGTAATTTTATTGATCTCAATTATTTTCATGTCATGCCATTGGATCGCCACCTAACTTGAATGTTACATTAACTATTGATAAATGTTGGCCCCCAACATGGAAGTTATCAATAGCCTCTTTGGTACCAATAATTTCCTACATTTTATCTCCGTATTATCCTAACGGCTCTCGAAGTTTCCTCTCCACCTAAATTTCAAGTGTCAAGATCTCATCATTTCCTATTATCCGTACTTGTAAATATTTATGTAATGACCTGCTTATAATATCATTTGTGACATTTCTTAAATTATAGTTCATATAACACAAACATTTATCATAGGTATTTTTTATATCATATGCATGAATTAGAGTAAACAAATACCTGCAAGCAATAATTTCATAAACATATTTATCAGATTCATAGCATAGTAGAATCATATGTATCGTAAGAGACAAAACAATCTATACAGGTATTCATCCATAATATGTAAAAAATTGTACATGCAATTGTGTCAAATATAATTGCATGGAAACTTATGGAGATTTGTTTTTTATATGTTAGCATATGGTATTTCATTTGAATCTACGGAGTAGCCCTACGATGAGTTTCCTCGAGTTCGCCGCCTTGTGTAAAGAACCTGAAATTCATAATTCCGTCAATTCATGAAATTTGTATTTAAAATTTTAATTTAACACCTAATATGATTTATTGCTTTAACTTACCTTGAAAGGGCTTCTCGACATAAAAATGCCGCCTCGATACTTTAATATTTCATTTTCTCTTCTTTCTTTCCCCAAACCCTTCCCCAGCTTGTGAAATGGACCTATCGGAGAGCGTAGCTCTCTATTTGATAGTCTCGCGGTTGTTCCCGCAAAGCTATAGCAACTAGGAATGTGTGGAATGGTTGAAATTATAGTTAATGTCAAAAATAGAAACATAAGGAAGAAATGAATGTCTAGAATATTATAAAAGAGGGTTTTCTACCTTTTGTTTTCTCCCTAGAAGCCTAAACCGTGGGTTTTGGCTCTTAATCGAATGTCTGCTTACGCTCGATGCAGCAAAGCTATAATGCGGGATCGTTGAACTCTCGAGACCAGCGAATATGAAGTATCAGGAGAGGGAATGGGAGGAATGCGACATTTATGTAAGGTCCACTTAATTCCACGGCCTTTAGACCCATCAGATCGTCTCATGCACAATTAAGTGTGAAGAAAGGGTCGGTTGCTACAGTGATGATGCAAGATTAGGGGATCAATAGAGGATTATTAAACTTATAACTTTATAATTTTATGTCTTCTCATACGTTAAAAATTTATGTTTGGTGCTGCTATATATTAAATTGATCGATTCGATGTGTAGAACTTTACAAAATTAATTCAATTTAATTATGAGAGATGCGAAATTTGGAGTATACTTTAAAGTTGTTGAAATTTTACTTGTTTTTTAAAATTAAGTTTTACACTTTTGGTCGTGAAAATGTAATGGAAAAGTTATAAATATGCAGTTCCTTTTTGTAGTAGAAAGTATACCTGATCGGATTTTGTAACGAGTATTGGCAAAAGTACAGCTGAGCGTTCTCATGAAATTATCTTTTTATCTTTCAAATATTCTTATAAATTACATCTCCACTTTCCCACTTCTTGTATTCATCCCTTTACATTATTATGTCTCTTCCGGCATTCTTTAGCTTGGTCTTTGTTTCTTTTTAAGCTATGAACAAGATGCATATAAATGCATGCCCACTATCTACATTGCCATTTGACTGTACATCTTCTGCCTCTATGCTCTTTATAGACATGAAAAATTAAGCATAAATCCTGTTGTTGTCACACATTCTCTGCATGAACTTTCATTTTGTTGGTTTTACATAAATGGATTTGTTGGACGCATGAAGCCCTACTTTTACCATCTTTGCAACTTGTTGCTATGATTTTATATAAAGAATATAAAGAGTTTACTTATTTTTTTTTTTAGGAATGGTTTCTGATGAGCCATTTTATTAAGCAGTATTGCTATTTCAAAATTGTCCAATGCTGGAGCCCTCACTGTTACTAGTTCAGCATTTCAGATTGTCTAACGCTGTGCATTCATTGTCTGTCATATGCGCAGGTATCTGCTTAGGAAAAGTGCTTTAGAATTGTTTATTGTTGATCGGACTAACTTCTTCTTTGATTTTGGGGTAAACTAATGTGAATTAATAATCTATTCATTTTCTTCCTGGTTTTTGTTTGTTGGCTAACTATTTCCACCAAAATTTCGCTGGAAATATATATTTCAGTCCACTGAAGTACGTAAGGATGCCTATCGTGCTATTGTTCAAGCACAACCTCCTCATTTGGGCAACATTTATTTGGCAACACAGGTTGGAAAAGTCCTGTACCGGCATAATTTTACTTTAAATTACGTCTCACTTTCCTTCATTTTCTTATTGCAGAGGCCTGACCAACTATTTAAGAGGAGCCAGCTTATGGAGAAGTGGGCTCGGTGGGAGGTAAACTTCATGATATTTTATCATTCTTGTATCACACTCTATTGTCATCTCTTTGGCATTGATATTTTTTTCATGTAGATTAGTAATTTTGAGTATCTTATGGAACTGAACACAATGGCTGGACGCAGTTACAATGACATTACGCAGGTTTGTGTCCTTTTGATTAATGAGTGAGCATTATGGCGGTGTTATTTCTTCTATATGGTACAGTGATTTACCAACTAGTGAAATAACTGTTTGCAGTACCCGGTTTTCCCATGGATCTTAGCTGATTACTCTTCAAAGACATTAGATCTTAGTGATCCTTCCTCGTATCGAGATCTCTCAAAGGTAGAAACCATTATTTAATTCTACTTTTATATGATCAATTATTACTAACTTGATTAATGGGCGCTATGAATTGCAGCCTGTTGGTGCATTAAATCCAGAAAGGTTGAAGAAGTTCCAAGAGAGATACTCTGGTTTTGACGATCCTGTTATACCCAAGTTCCACTATGGCTCCCATTATTCTACTGCAGGAACTGTAAGCCTTCATAAGCTACATTCGTTCTAACCAAAAAAAAATGGAGCTACATTTATTTCACAATGTCCGGAATACGCAACATAAGTTAACCTGAATGCTTGTGTTGCCTATTTATTGCAAAACTAAGTGAATGTAGATTATCTAATTCAGGTTTGAATCTTGTTATTGGCAGTATTACTCTGAAAGCGTGAAAATGCATGCACATCATATATAGTGGATAAAAATGTTTCGGTTTAGTTTTATAAGAAAATGAAAACTGTGTATATATGATGAATGGATTTTTCAATTTGTTTGAGAAGTAGCATGCTCCATATGTTAAATTTTAGTTTATTGTTTATTTATGAAGTGGCGAATGATTGTGCCATTTGCTTCCTCCCTTGATGCCGGAATTAGGTTGAATTTAGCAGAAACACGAAAGCAAACTTTTTAATTTAGAAATAGGGTTACAACACGGCACAAATTGGAAAGGGGGAAACAATAACAATCCAATCCCCGATTACGACCGAAAGAGAAGATCCGAGGATGGTGATGGTGTCAAGGGGGAAGGGGGAAGGGTTGTAGGGTAGTATGGAAGGTTGGGGAAGTGAGGGAGGATGGCGGAAAGGTTGGACAGCATGTAACGGGAGTCAGGACAGCTGGTTCGCTTACTAGACAACAGGTTGCGGGGCTGGATAGCAGGCTTGGAGGGTTTGGACAGTAGGTTGGATGGTTGGAAAGTGGTTTGGAGGCGGTTGGGGAAGGGTTGGAGTGGTCGGTGTTAAGGGAAGTAGTTGAGGCAAGTTAGGTAAGATAAAATGGGAAGATACGTCACCACCTCGAAGTAGGATACAGCCAGAGCACCATCACCTTCTCGAATACAACCCTACAAAAGGGAAGAAGACTCCACATTGGAAATATGACAAGCAAACACATCAAAACGTAACTCTAAACTCAGAAAGCAAGTATTTAAATAAGCCTAATTAGGTGGGAAACAAGAAAGGAAATACGAAGAGAAAGGAAGGAGGAGAAAAGGGCAGGCGGCAATGCCGCTTTCCCCAAACGCTGCTCGATTCAAGCGGGTGACGTGAAAGGGAAGCCACACGGGCCGCTTGATGTCGCTCGACACTTTGGATGTATGGACCTAGTCCCCTATACCAGCCATCAATCGGCTGGCTTTGTTTCCCTCATCTGTGTGGGAAACTACCTCACCCACGTCAGTTTCCCTGGTTGGGAGAGCTTCGACCTCATTCATTGATGCTTCTGGTTCCTTCTCTCTAATCCTGGCGGCAGTTGGGTCCCACTATCAGCCAGAGCATCGATGAAGTAGGCATCACTTGTGCGCCCATGTCCCCATCGATCAGCGCTCCAGAAACTGTATTGTTGAATCCTCCCAAGGTAACCCATGGTCAAGCCCTACAGATGTGCCGCGAGAGCAACTTGAAACTTCATGCCTGGTGGAGTTGGTGGTATAGTGTCGACTGCGAGATCCTGACATCTTCTCTGGTGCAATTGTCCCATGTCTGAAGTCGGTGTCTCAGTCCTCTCATTCTGTGTCGTCATTAGAGTTGGCCCCACTGACGTCGCTCTGTTGGTATGAGTTCCAGTGATCTCGAGCTTTGTTGAAGGGAGTAGAATGATGTGTTTCACCTCCTTGGTAAATTTGTATGTGTTTTTGAATTCATCGTGCTGGGCCTCCAGTCAAACTGCCATGATCGTCCCAACAAGAGGTGGCAGACATCCATTGGGAGCACGTCACACCAGTCTTGGTCCCGCAGCTGGCCTCCCATCGAGAACTCTATTAAACATCTTCAGTCAATGCGGATTCAATTCTCCTTTAGCCACATCAGTGAGTACGGTCGGGAGTGCCTCTGAGTTTTGAGTCTCAATTTCTCTAATGTCTAAGTCAATACCACGTTCTTGTTGCTCCCGCCGTCGATGATAAGACTGGATACCTTTCCATTCACTGTGTAGCGGGTGTAGAAAATATTGTGGCCTAGCCACTGCGGATCCCTCGTACCGTCAATCTGTAAAGTTCGTCGAATCACAAGTGCTTCGCCCTCATCTGATGGAAGTTGATACACCGCACCATGTTCCTCAGCTTTCTCCTTGTTTATAATCTCTTCCACGACGCCCTGATTAGTGAGGGTGACTACCTTGCTAGTGGGACAACTGAAGGCTATGATCGGAAACATTTTTCGGCCGCTACGGTGTTGGAGGAGCTACCTTTCTCCTAGTTCTTCCCGCTCTGATCCGGAGTGTCACTCCCTTGCCTGGGCTTGCTTGTGTCTCCCGGGGTCCTTTTGCGGTCGTTGTAACTGTAGGAGCTGCTTGTCTGACGGTTGTTGTCTGAAGGATGACTGTTATCTGCTCTATTTTTGTTGTCTCTCCACCTTCAATACTAGTATCTGAACATCTCCAAGTAATGAAGAAAACTGCAGTTTTATCACATTGCTAATATCTACTTCAAGCCCTCCAAATAACGGGTTTTGGTGTGCTCCTCTGGTTCGACCTGATTACACCTCATCTACAACTGAACAAACTGCTCTATGAACTCCTCGATTGATAAATTCTTCTGTTGTAGGTGATGGAGACTCAGAAACATATCCTGACGGTAATGAGGTGGGAGGTGTTTCCTTTGCATCGCCTTTTTCATCTTCTCCCACCTAGTAATATTATCGTTGCCTTCCCTTTTCCTTTGTCTTTGTAATTTCTCCCACCACAGAGAAGCACTCTTCTTCAACTTGATGGCCGCTAATTTGACTCGCCTATCCTCTGACACATCTTTATACTTGAAGATTCGCTCAACAGCTTGTAACTAATCAATGAAAGCCTCATGATCCATACCTCCTTCAAACTTTGACAGATTTATCTTGATTTTATCATCTCTATGTCCTCGAAATGATATCTCCTCTCTGTGAGTTTTCTCCGAAGGGGATTCAAATATCCCTCTCTAGGCCTCCTCTAGTACCAGATTTTGAAATGTCATGGCCTATCTTCTTCATCGTTGAAATTATCTCTATGAATGGGGTTCAGATTCTCATTTCTTTCTCTTCTTCGACTCTCCAGATCTCGGTCGATTGTAACTTCTTTTTGTGTTAATTCTTCAATCTCTGCAAGCTTTTGTTGAAGGCGACGGAGCTCCTACCTTAGCTCTTCTTGGGTAGGCTCAGAGATATATCTCCTTGGTGGTATTGCTAGGGACCAAGGAATAGGAAAAAAAAATTTTGGTTTATGGCAGATGCTAGGAAGCTCTGGGATTGGATTAAGGTTGGGCTAACTCTGATACTAAATGATTCCGGAACTAAGTGAAATTTAGCGGAAACACGAAAGAAAATTTTTATTAATTTAGAAATAGGGTTACAGCACGACACAGACGGGAAAGGGAAATACAATAACTATCCAATCTTCGATTAGGACCGGAAGAGAAGATCTGAGGGCGATGATGATGTCGGCAAGGTTACAAGGGGGAAACAGGGAAGGGTTGAGGGTTGTAGGGTAGTATGAAAGGTTGGGGAACTGCAAGAGGGTGGCAAAAAGTCCGGACAGCAGGTTCGGCCACTAGATAGCAGGTTACGGGGCTGGACAGCAGGCTTGGAGGGTTTGGACGGCAGGGTTGTCGGCTGGAAAGTGGGCTAGAGGCGGTTGGGGGAGGCTTGGAGTGGTTGTCGGCTAAGGGGAGTGAAAGAAACAGATTAAGGAATATAAAAGGGTAATATACGTCACAACTTCGGAGTAAGATATAGTCGGAGCACCATCACCTCCTCAAATACAACCCTGCAAAATGGAAGAAAGCTCCACACAATAAATCTGAAAAACAAACGCATCAAAACTTAACTCTAAACTCATAAAACAAGAATATAAATAGATCTGACTAGGTGGGAAACAAAAAAGGAAAGACGACAAGAAAGGAAGGAGGAGAAAAGGGCAGATGGCAATGCCGCTTTTCCCAAATGCCACTCGATTCGGGTGGAAGACGCGAAAGGGAAGCCACACGGGCCGCTTGATGCGGCTCGACACTTTGGACCCCCTAGACCGTCCCCTATTCTAGCCAGTTCAACCCGTTGGCTTTATTTCCTGCATTTGTGCTGGAAACTACCGCACCTGCGTCATCCATTGTCCAGGGTAAACTTGGCAAGAGTTCCTTGGGATAATGCCATTTTGGGTGTAGTAATTATCATCCGTGTTCTTATTCTTAAAACTATGACGTTCTATATCTTAAAAATATGAAGTTCTATTTGACCTGGAAGTGACTTTGACGTCTATTTTGTTATGGAATGGTTCATTAGGAAACCTTTGGTTAATATTGTTTAGTTATGACAACGTGCAAGTTATGCAGCAGTATTTTCTGAATGAAAGAGGGTGCATTTTTTTTTTCTTTTTCATACAATCACATAGATGGACAAAATATCCTTTGACAAAGCATATGAAAACTTCAACTTTTTCTTAAATAAAATATATTATTTAGATGAGTACAAGTAGGAGATGGCAAAAAAATGTTGAGAGAAGCAAGAAAAGTGAATTAGCGTAGACTAAGATATAAAGTATTCATTTTGATCGTCTAGTTTGATTCTCTATAAAAAAAACATGAGTGGCGATAAATTTTCTTCTCATTCATGTCTCTTTTGGTACAAAGAACGTGTAATCTTTTATTCTATTTTGAACTTCACGAATGACTTTCCAAACAATGCCCTCAACTCAGAAATATTGGTCGTTTAATTTAATATTTTTTTATGCATCTAGTCTTATGTTTTCTTTTAAACCTTTGTGCCCAAAGTGATCTTCGAGGCATCACATTTTACCAACTCTTCTTTATGATCCAAAGTTTTTGAAGTGTTAACATAAATGATTTTCATTCTTTATCATTTTGCTTGACTAAATTGCATCCAACGCTTTGCTGCTTTTGATGTATTATGTTCATAAATAATCATGTTTTGTGATATATTTCCAAGATAAACTTGGGATTTGTTTGGGCAGATAAGCAGCTTATCCAGATAAGCAGCTTATCCAGATAAACAGCTTAT